TCCCCTGCCTCACAAGGTGAGGTCCCGAGAACGCATTTCTCCCCCTGCGTGGTACTTAGGTCTCTTTCTTCCTCCTACGAATTTGGGGACAACTGAACAGAGATGAAAAGGCCATCGCTGCCGCCCGCTCGACCGCGGAGCGGGGACGTTCCAGCGGCCGGTCGTCCTGAGCCGCCGCAACCGGCCGCGGTGCCCCTCACACCCACCCCCGCCCCACGAGCCGCAGAGAGAAGTCCGGCGGGTGCCGGCAGGCTCGCTGAACCGCGCACAGTCCCACAGCTCGCCTGCCCCCAGTGTCCGCCCGGTACCTGGCGAGCGGCGGCCGGCGGCGGCAAAAAAATCTACCTAACTTTATGAAACTACTCCAGTTACTGGAAGGCAGCATCAGAATGTGGACCCAAAATTTTCAACAAGATTAAATCACTAGGGGGAAAAAATGCCTGAGAAATGACAACTAAATAGCAGAGAAAATAGAGCATGCTAATTTCCTTTCTATAGTCTTAAGAATTGCTATATTTGACAATACTTTGCTAGGGTAAACTGTGGTTGTTAAAGGAGCATATGTGCTGTGCATCAGTAATTTTGTCCTTAAAGAGCTATGATGCATATGATTTAATATGAAGAACAAAGTGCACATAAAGAGCATATACAACATTTTTGTTCAATAGCTTAAGCACATTAGCTCAGCTCCTTCAAAAAATCTCTAATCATGTCCATGACAAGCTACAAGCTGACATGTATTCTTGTGTGACTAGTCAGATGACATGACTCAGCAAAGAAACTTTGAGAGGCCTAAGATGCAATTCCTGTGATTTGTAGCAATGTTATTTTCTTTCATGGACTGTACAAAGAATTCTGTGTGAAACCAGAGAATTAAGCTGTTTTAAAGCAGAGCATAATAAACCATATATAGGTTTTCAAGATAGCCTTCTACCAGACTCTATGTTTAGTACTGTAGCAATTTCCTCACAAGGCCTCTGTATCTAACACCCACATGCTCTACAATAGTGCCCTGAATAATGTGATTTTGTTTTAATTGTTGTTTGGAATATGTATTAGTTACCTTAGAAAATAATTTATGTTATATACAAATACTTTCTCCTGTATAACCTTATAATTAATCAGATACATCCTTCAGGCTTTTTTTTGACAAATTAAGTCAAGCTCCCACTATGCAGCTCTTAGTACATAAGGGGGCTGGTGCCTGAATGTGGCACCCACTTAAAATTGTACTTCTATTGGTAACACTGGCATGATTCCGAGTAGTGTTTATAAACCTCTCGTTTAATTCAGTACAGTAACAGTGAATTAGGGAAAGGGATAGACAGTTCCCAAAAGATTGTGCAGAGATGCTTTTCCTATATTATTAGTTTTTGATTTCTTGGATTGCTCTGTGCTTCTTGTTGTGCTTTGGAATGTGGTTATTGTCTAGAATGCTTAATCATGGTTTTAGTCTTAGCCTTAAGACTGGCAGTACATTGTGAATAAAATCGCAGGGTGCACTGCAAGTCCATAATCCACTGTTTACATTAAGTTCTTTGGGAGTTTGCTGTAGGACAGTTTGTACAATTGTGGTGCAGGATCAAGCTCTGAAGGATGCCAACACAATTAAACCACAGGAGACAATTATAAAAAAAAGCAAAACAAATAGATGGCACCTTCAAAAAAGATAGGCACAAAATGAAACAGAAAGAACCATAAATTTTTGTGAAATGCAGAAACATACTAAGGAGGCCAAAACTAGTTAGAGCAACAAACACCAAAAAGGAATCTTTATTAGTACCTTTAGTACTTATGAGCAGAAATTTTGCAAGAGGATCCTGAAGATCCACATAAATGTAAGGCTGGGTGGGAAGAGTAATCACAACAAAACCAGAACAGACAGAGTAAACAGGGGTGGTTTTTGTTTACTGGAGAGTATCTTGGGAAATTTTCCATGGCAAAACACTTTCCACAAGGAGGACTAGAGAAAGAATATGCCTTAAATTGAATTATCAATAGAGTGACTGGAAAATATAAGTAATAATGATTTGGGATGATCATTTTTAAATCATAAATTAACTTGTGGCTGGGGAAGGTAATGCTAAGTTCTTGCTTCACGTCACTGGTACTAGTGGTATTGGAAATGGCACATGTAACATGAATATGGCTGCCTGAAAGATCTCCAAGAATGATCCAGGAAACTACATACAAACATGCCTGCCATCCCCACTGGGCAAGGTGTACACACTGTTATAAATAATAGGATGAGATGGCACTGAACGGTGTTGGCAGAGCTTTGTGGAGAAGCCTACACTGTTGCAACTTCTGTTTTTCCAGTGCTTGAGAACTAGATTTCTAAATGCCAGTGAAACCATTGTCATCTTTCACAAGCATTAAATACATTAAAGCAAGCAAGGCATTTAAAAAGCCAAAGAAGAGTCAATACTATAAGCTCTTTGTGTACTCCAAGAATGTCTGAATCATCTGAAACCATTTCAGATTAAAGATATAAGATTAGACACAAAGTAGGCCTAGAAAAATAAGTCATGTGATGCAAATTGACATATAAAGAAGACTACATTTCCTTTTATCTCTAAATGAAGGAACAAAACAGAAAAAAATTAGTATTCTCTGTAAAGAATGATTGTTATAATCACAGGACACTTTAATGTCAGATTTTTAGTCCTTTGTAAAAAGGTCAGTAACCTTTTACTTTTTAAGAGTTTCTTTGTCTTTGAGGAAAACATGAAAAAAAGGACTAATGTTTTCAACAGCAAATTAATTTAGTTGTGAGATACATAACAGTCTGCCAGAAAGATTATGGACCATTTATTAAAAAGATTTTGTTGAGAAATGTTTGGTGATGCATGTGAGCAATGCGTGGAAACTATCCAGCTATATATTGTGCCCCCTGCAAGGACAATCAGGACTACAGGGGGGTGCAACCCCCAATATGACAGCTGTGGGCAGTCTGCCTGTGTTGCTTAGCTGATCTTAATAAATACCAAGCACCTGGTCTCCTGTAAGGGTGTGTAAAGCTTTACAGAAGCTACTCAATTATGGTTTGAGGAAAATGTTTATATCCTAAAACTTCTAAGCTGGTCTTCATAAGAACCTGTAGTATTTGTGAAGTTAGTGGACGAAAGCTGGAAGTCATCAGTACAGTTTTTCCTCTCCTGCAAGTTGAAGGTACAATAATCTGTTTTAGAGAAACAGAGTCTTTAAGTTTATCATTGCTAAGTCTTGTGTAGGCAGTGTTGGTAACCTTTTGTTGATGGTTCTCATTGTAGATCCTGAGGCTTCAGTCTTACGTGATAACATTTTCTGCCTCCTGTCCTGCACTGTTATGGTCCAAGGAAGCATATGGAGGGAAAACAAAACCTTAAACTGCAACTGGCTATGCCTTACTTGGTTGTGACAAATAATATACTGTTTATTTAAGTCTCACATGAAACCAACTAGGTGAAATTGAAGCTTTACGTATAAATTTTCCTTATCGAAAATTTGAAATGTAAACTCACTGTTTGTCTCTCTGACTCATTAACTTATGAGATCTGTAGCTGGGAAAATCAAAACTGAAATTCTTCTAGTTCAAAATAGCCACAATGAAACCTAGAGAGCAGGCACACTGCTGTTAGAGAACCATACTGAAAACTCATAATTCTGAACTGGGAACTGCCTTGCTGTGTTACACCCTGTAACTCTTCAGCTAAAGTGTGAGTTCAAAAAGAACTGGTTATTTGCTTTCCTAGAAGTTTCTTTCATCTTTCTAGAAGCTTGGTAGTTTTTTCCTTGTGCGCTTTTGAGTCACAGCAGCTTTACTCTTGTTTCTTTACTATAATTGAAAAAGTGAGACAATAAATGGTTGCTTAATATTCCAATTACTCAAAGGTGAGTGCTGTGACAGCCTGTGGGTTAGCAGCTAACTGTGCTGGCGTGTAACTAAGGGTCTAGGATTAAAGGGGATGCTACATTTTTACCTGCTGGACTACCCTTTGTGGGGGGAGAAAGAGGCTGAACAGGATCAGTTGTGTCTCCTTGATTGTTTACTGTGTATGAGCTAGAATTTGAGTGAGGAAGAAGTTACAAAATTGGGATTTGCTTGAAGTATTGCTGTAGCACATTTTTGTGAAAGGATCTAAAGAGAAGTAGAACTAGAGGCAAGAAAGTAAGGCACAAGGGACTGATAACTTACTAGCCATCAGCTTGCCTGAGGGCATTCAGTGTTCAGAGAACGAAAGGTAAGGCCACAGAGCCATGTTTGGCAGGCTTATATTTATATTTACATTATATTTTGAGGTGGTTTTGTGAAGCATTCCTGGTTTCTTAGCCTCATGCATGGTATTGATTTATGCTGAGTGTAATGGCACTGTGTTACCCATTTCTTAGCTTAATTGTTTTGGTTCTGTTTCTGATCTGTAGCAGAAGATGCTAATGTTGCATGTGCTGGTATTCGGCTGGGTGTTACTGATTCACTGGTAATGTGAAGCCATGTGCAATCCTAGAGCTTGCGCTGTAGTATTTTTCCAGTGCCTTAACAGATCCTATACAGAAGGCAACCAAGTTTCTTTGCTTACTGCTTATGTGCTTATATTTTCAGAGTATTAAAATATGTTACAGTATTAATTTCAGTTATTAGTGCTTGTTGTTTCAGCTGTGCTTTTTGTTCTTTCATTCTTGAATGTCTTCAGAACAAATCCTAGTAAATGGCATGATTCTCTTCCTTTTTGGGAACATATCTTCTGTGTTTTCTGAAGTGGATGGTAAACTGATTACTTGTAGTAGCATAAAAATGCTGCCCTTAATGTGGTAAGCTCCTAGTTTATTTGAAAAACTAAGGTCAATTTAATCAACATTTTTCTTCTAGTTTAGAACACAATATACTGTTGAGTATAAACAGACCCCTTTCCTCATCTTTTGACGTGCAAATCCCTTGTATCCCTAACACACAATACGGATTCCTTCCTGAAGTTCTTTGCCGAACGGAGCGGTTCTTGCTCGGGTATACCCCCCTACCGTTAATTTCCAAACAGCGCGGCGAGGAGCTCACGCAGCCGGGCCGAGGAGCGCGGCCGCTCTGCCGGGGCTCGCAATTGCGCGTTCCGGCCGCGGCGGGAGCGCGCCCCGCGGGGGCAGCGCCGCGGGCACCAGGGGGCGCTGCCGCCCCGCGCCGCAGGGCCGGCCAGGGCCAGGGCCGGGCAGGGCCGCGCCGGCAACTGCGAAGGACGGCTCACAACAGCCTCTGAACCCCTTGTGGGCGTGTTGCCGTGCTCCAAAAGATTTACCAGGGATGGAAAATAAAGAGAAAATCAAGTGATAGGGTGTCGTATTATAAAAGCAATAAAAAAATTATGTAGAGTAATTAAGATGATTGTGTCGGAGATTAGCCAATCTCCTGTCTGTTGTTCAGGACTGTCTTTGTAAATTGGCCTGGCCAGTTATGAGTCTTGACTGCTTTCAAACTCATGTTTCTCTCTATGCAGAGCGGTGGGATAAAATATTGCAAATCTGATCAAGAAAGTTGGTGTTTGAATGATGCAATGTAAGTATTTAGCTTATTTATGGTGTAAAATGTTACAATCAGTAAACTGATTATAGTTTATTTATTATGTACCAAGGGGCAGAATATTTTTGCTATCCTCTTGGAAACTATGAACTCCCCATGTGTTTTCACTTGTTCATCACTTAAAAACATGATTTATAGACACAATATAATGATGAAACCTTGTGCAAAGAGCAGTCAATGGTGAAACTCCTAAATGCTCTATGGTATTGTATGAATATAGCAGAAGAGCCAACCAAATCCATATACCTGTAGGAAATAATGGATTACTTTGTTATGCTTCTTGTGTGTTTTTGTTATTTGTAGATGTGGCACACTTGTTTGTATGTATCCCATAGTTGGTTCTGCAGTAATGCAGGTTTGGAATCCATTAGTAAGTGAAAGACTGATTTCTCTTGAGTAGGAGTAGAAGAACAGGTAGTCTTTGTTCTGCCAAAAGGACTAGCCAGGGGAAGGAAGAAAGAGGGAGAAAACTAGAAAGGACTGTGGGAAGGGATAATTTTTAAATGGTTGGGCAAAATAAGTAGGAGGCAATCAGGCTTATCAAGTATTATTTTGCTAATGACTTCCCTGCCATTTAGCTTCTCTTTTGACTACATTTGCAACTTCTTCCATTTTTTCTTTCAAAAGTATTTTCTGATTTGCCAATCCTAATGTTTTATCTTAGTTAGGTGATTAAGTGCCTCCCAATCACTATTCACTTTGTAATCATATTTGATTGCTAATTTTAATGCTAAATTAAAACATTACATCGTGAAATGCAGCCAAGAAGTATCTGGCAAGAGCTGTTGATTTTATTTTAGAGGTTAAGAGCTACATGCAAATATAGTTTCCACTGAAGTTCAGTAAAACAGTAGATCTCATTTTAAGTATCTGCTTGATATAAACCAAGAGATTTGGTAAACATGTAGATCAGTGTTTGGTCCAACATACTCCTACTGGTATGTAGGGGCTCCATGTAACATACAGAGATTTTCCATTAGCAGTAGGATGTGGATGTACCTTGCAAATCTCCCCTCTTTGTCAAAGCATATATGACAGATGGTTACAGTGACACCTTAGTTCTGTCTGCTGCTTCAAAATAGACTTGCTGTCAATTAATTCAGACTAGGAGTGAATTAAATTTGGTTATCTATTTTTTATTGGTTACTTATTATTATTAGCTTTTCCAACTTGTTTGTTTGTTAACATTTGGCAGAATAAATCACAACCCATAACTGAGCTTCTATCTATTAATATAGTGTGATGAATTAGATCAAATAAAAAAGTTGCATTCAACACTCCATTTAATTAACATCACAGAACAACAGTAAAATATCTAGCAATATTTTCCAAAACACTGGAAACAATTGGGAATGAAAAGGATTGTATTTTCAGAAAGGTATTCCCGGTTTCAGCATATTCTTCTCTTATGATGTTGCACATGCAGTTCACTATCTGTGCATGAATTTCCTACTGCTAAAATGAGGGCAATGGTATTTTCTGTTTTATGGAACTACTGTGAAGAAAAAATCCATTAATATTTTATATCAGATATTAATGTGGTATGTGCTATAGAAAATGTAAACAACAACCAGCCACTCCCCATCCCCCCAAAATCTGCTACCTTTATTTGAATTTGGAAAAAAAAAGAAAATTAAGTTTTTTCAGCAAGAAGTTAAAGGATAAAATTCCTTTGAGCATTGAGCTGAATTTTTTCCACTTTTGATCTGTTTGGAGAATGACTTATGTAGGAAGAAATCTGAGAGAAGTTAGAAGTTGCTAATGTGGAGCCTGCATGAAGTTTCTAAAAAGGAAAGCTATGTAGGAAGAGCCTATAATTTTCATTCCTATCTTTGGACTTGGATTAATGCCCAGAATAGTGACAAATAGAGCGTCACTGGGGAAAGACTGAGAATAATCTCCATTGGCAATAGCAACTAACTTAAGGAATGGATAACTGTGATTATAACAATAAAGTATTTGCTAATAAAAACAATCCCTTTCTATTTTCAGTAAAGATAACTGACAAGAGAGACTTCTGTAGCATTTTCAATGGGAGGAAGAAATGGAAAAGTTGATAATTGTTTGTATGTGTAATTGTGTGTATATATATGTGATATATATACATGTATCTATGTTCAACAGACAAGTTCAGCTGGAGGTATTACAGAATATCCTCCACCTCTCAAGGCCAAAAATACAGTTTTTTAGGAGAGGTACTGAAAAGGCACTGTTTTGAAGAGCCCAGTGTAGCAAGTGCATTTATACCTGAGATTACAATTTTCATAGATGTAGGGGTGGCATGTAATATGGTAGTGGTATTTATTTAATTTGTGCTCTCTGTAATTTAATCTTTGTTTTTTTAAAAAAATATAGACAGATATACTCTAGTTTAAGTGTTAAGTACTTCCCCACACATCTTAGTCCCATTTTGCTGTTAATGGTTTCCATTCAGAACCCTGACTTTACCCCTGTGCTCCTCAAGAAACACTGCCTCACCTGCTGCCCTATTTCTGCCTTCCTTCAGAAGACCTAGGCCTACAGAAAACCACCATGTGCTGTCTGAGTTGATAATAGCCTTTGAGAAGAATGGTGATGGACTTTTCTGGCTGCCTTTGAAGCCTGAAGGAACAAGAGTGGCTGCTGCAGTTCTCATATCCCTAATTCAAAACTTAAGTAGTTCTGTCTCTGTTTTGCAGGTGAAGTACTTATGACCGTAAGATGCAGTGACTTTGACTTTCTTTAGGAAAGATTTAAGAAAGTGAGGCTCTGGGAAAAGAACAACACAAAGAGGTACAAATGGAACAAAATTGTAGTATTTTGTAATAAGTAACTCCACATATGATTTTTAAAGCTTCGTAGAGCTTGGTTTTATTTTTGTTTTTTTTAAACATGTTTGCATATATGGAAACGGAAAGCGGACCATACCAGCTAGGTTTGTGTATGGAATACAGTGTTACTCTAGCATGTTCTACTGCATGAAGAAAAGTTCACCCTTTGTAAGGAGGTAATAGTTGTGTTAAGTTTGTGGGTTTTGGATTCCTTGTGGTGCTTTTGAAGCATGGTTGACCTTAAAGGAACGTAGAATTTCAAGAAATCTGCTGCCAGTTCTGGCCAAAAGCATCCAGAAACAAGACATGGGATTTGAACAGTGGAGGTACTTTCCTTATCAAATGGAGAATTTTCTGACAGAGATGTCAGCTTTTAAGTATTCATGCCACTCTAGAATTGTCTGACCTTATGGCTTTCCTTATTCATGAACGTTGTTACATCTTAGTAAAAGGATAAATCATGTAATGAGAGAGGGTCTCTCCAGGTTGGGTCTATGTTGAAAGACCAGCAGACCACTGAATTCCCTTCATGTTTATTATAAAGAAAGAAGTCTTCCAAAACATCTTCCTTTATTATAGAAAAATATGTTAATGCAAAGATGTATGTGAAGTTAGGTATGTTATTTTTTTGCATATCCTGCACATTCTTTCCTAGTACATATAAAATCTGATTATGACTATTGAAACAATTACATTTTCTTTAAAGAATGTCACCATCATATCGCTTCTATTTGGGGTATTCCTTACTATGCATATGGAGTAAAATGAAAGAATATATAGTAAATAATTAAAGTAAAAAATAGTAAATATAAAATTTTAAAATAACCATCTATATTTACAGCAGCAGTTATCACGATGTGATGTTAAATGATCTAAAATATTTGATATCTGCCTTGCTTATAGGGAGGCAGAATTATTTAAGGCAAATCCTATGTATACGTACTTGTGTATATTTGTATAGTAGAACCAAGGGTTAATAGGTACTAGCTGGTAGAGAAATCTACTTTGAGCTGAAAGGCTGCAGTCACTCAAACTAGTGACATTGCTGGGGAGGTAAAGACATGCTGTACATATTAACTGGTATGAAATACCCTGTTGAAGCCTGTTGTTGACACCCGTTCTTTAACAACAACAAGAGTCTGTTTGCAAGCAGAAATAGGAACGTGTCATGATGTGGCTGAGTAAAATACAGTTCTCCATATTATGTGCAGTTGCTAAGGATATAAACCTACCAGTGATATCTCATTTTAGGAGTTCAGAGAATGAATAATAGCTCTGTGACTAACTATTAATGATAAGGATTGAAAAAGAAGAACTGTTGGGTAACAGAAGGTAGAATCATTTTACTATATGCAGCGATGAACATTACCTTGCACAAACAGTACAGCCTTGAAGTAGGGTGGGTGGAGGTGCAGCTGGGTGGGAGGCAGAAAAGGATTGAGAGAATATGATTTATGGGTGAGAATTTTTACATTAGAAATTTAACACTAGAGATGCTGCAGACTGAGCTGTGAGTTTCCAAATGCTCCCTGCTTTCAATTTTGTATTAGTGACAATTATTTCCACAGCAACCATTAGTGACATTGCAGAAAGGACTGCAGTTAGAGTTTTTATATTGTTCAACGCTGTTGTGGGTTACAGCTATTTTATTGTTTTTTGAGATGATCCCCTATCAATCCCTTTCCTCTTTTCCTCAATACATGTTTGTTACTAATCTACTGTATGCAAATAAGCATTGCAATTGCATAATCAAAAATTAGCTAAGCAGTTTTGCCCAAGGTTTCTAAATGTTGATTTTGTAGCATAGTAGTAGAAATAGCACTTTATTCAAGTATTTTAAAAATTATTTTAAGATTCCTGGTGCTGCCTTAAAAGCATAAGTACCACTGATTAT